ATATTCTACTTCAGTGTCACTCTTGTTATATGTTGCATGTTAGTAACAACAGTAGGTGACAATTTCAGTTACTCTGTGATTACCATTTCAATTTTGACTTCATTTTTCCCTGGAAGGCTAATATGAAATGAATAATGCATTTTTTTGGTTTTGAAGTTTTGAACATTTAGTTTAGAACTTGTTTTTTGAGTTAAGGCAGACTAAAAAATCCACCCTATTTTCTATACTAACTAGTTCTGACTTCAGCATAAACTGAATAACTTCATTCTAACCTGAAGTGTCATGCTGTATAGGATTTAAATTCAATAAAGATTGCGGCATGTGGCTGCTGTTCTTAGAATGTTTGAGGAGCAGTGATAACAAAAGAAACCTTTTTTTTATTGCATCAAGATGCAGCGTTATAGTAGATTACATCTTGGATAGGTAACATCAGCTCTGTGAAAGACACAAATTCTTAGCCTCTTTATTGATGGGGAAGTGTGGGAGGGAGGATGCAACTTTCTAAAGGCCAGAGTTGGCAGATTCCACTACTAAGACTGTAATTTGGAAATCCGAACTACAAATCTTGTAGGAAGCTACTCAGCTATGCTTCCCTAGCGATGGTTACTGTGCTGTGTTTCGCCCTGTGTATGCATTGGCAATAAGGATAACGTAGTACAACAGAGCTGCTCCCCCAAATTAACTGTGTTCAGTTAATTTGTAATGCAAATATTTGTGATGCAGTTTATGTGATTTACTTCTATAAAACAATGGTCTGTGTTGTCCATGTTTTTTTAAGGGAGTCTTCTCTTACAAAACACACAGTTCTACCACTTGAAATGGTAAATGGTGTCTGCAGTTTGAGTAATGGTAAAATATATTCTTACCTCTTTTGCTTCATTCTGCATTTTCATATTTTCTGCAATGTATTTAACACTTTCAATAGCAGCTCTCATTTCTGGTGACAGAACTGAAAATGAAAGCAGAGGATCTACAGATTCAGAACTTGAACTTCTTGTGAGATTGCCACTGAAATCTGAGAACTTCGTTCGTTGATACTGACAGCAGCTGCATGCTGTATCTTGACATACAAAGCCGTCTTTGCAGCATTTGGTTTCAGAACTGTTGAAGCAGTTTAAGTTTGGAAACTCAGCAGTGTAGAATGGTTTTGGCTTCTGATTGTTCTCTTCATCACTGGCAGGCCTTGTCATAAACATGATCCTGGGAAGTAAGTTCAAGAAGATGGTTCTCACCCACACAGGCATTGTGTGCGTCTTGGGTGTTCTGTAGTGCACGTTAAGTACAAATACCGTAATGACAATAGATAGAGTTACAAATATCATGGTGAAAAGGAGGTATTCTCCGATAAGTGGAATTACCAACGAAGTAGAAGGTATGGTTTCTGTGATAACAAGAAGGAACACTGTTAAAGATAAAAGGACCGATATGCAGAGTGTCACCTTCTCACCACAATCTGAAGGCAAATAGAAAACCAAGACAGTCAGAAAAGAAATCAGCAGACATGGAATAATCATGTTGATAGTGTAAAATAAAGGTAAACGCCTAATGTAAAGAGAGTAGGTGATGTCTGTATATATCTCTTCACAACAGTTGTATTTGATGTCATGTTTATACCCAAGAGCTTTAATAATAGCCCATTCTCCGCTTTCCCAGTAATCTTTCAGGTTCATTGTAGAGCCAATTAAAACCAAGTCAATTTTGGCTTTATCATAAGACCAGGAACCAAACTTCATGGTGCAGTTCTGATAGTCAAAGGGGAAGTAGGTTACGTCTATTTTACATGAGCTTTTAAATATAGCCGGAGGTATCCAGGTCACATCACCTGTGTATTTCAGTAGGGCCTTTGTCTTGTCATCAACCTGGAAATCTCCAACTGCACTGTAAAGCAAAGCAAACAAACAAACAAATGCAGTGCAGCTGTTCCTTTTAGTTTCATATGAGATCATATTTATAAAATCTTTAATCTGTTTTTGAAAGTAGGCAATTAAATCTTAACACGGAGCTTAATTGCAGATGCAGGATTGAGTTAGTGGCTGCCATAAGTTTCCATAGATAAGCTTAAATGAACAGTGGTATACATTTACCATGGATGATGTGAAGGTAAATATTTCTGAGCAAACGTGAGCCCAAGTGCTTCAGAACCTGATGACTGACAAGAGGATACCTGCAATACTGGTGTTTCTGCTCCTTTTGTGGGCAGGGGAGGTAGCAATTATGGGGAGATGGATTAGGGTTGGGATGTATCTTTGCCTAAGGGATGTGTTTGGTGAAGGTTTTTGTGTCCCACATTGCTATCCTGATCGCTGTCATGAAAGAGCCATGTGACAATTTCACTTGTTCCTATGAAAAAGTAAAACTAGAGGTGATTTAAGTTCTTAGGATTAGCTGACCACGGGTAGAAAAGGACTCTCATGAGCTCTTGGTCCATAGGCCTCAGTTTTGGATTCGCGTAGCTTAAGCCCGTTTCACCGAGAGCGGCTTCCTTACATAGCAGAGGGATCCATTTAGTAATGGTTTGGCTCTTCACGGTCTCGGAAACAAATTTCCAAAGCACATCATAGCTGAGGCTTTTGTACACCAGTGGTGGTGGTGTATAGGTGTCAAACTGTGAGTTTAACTGCTAAAAAAGCTAGAATTAGCAGTTGCTTTTGGTTAAAGGTCTGAACGCCAGACAAGAATTCCCAGCGCAAGGGAACTTCTTGCCAACTCCCACGTAGGCAGTGATAAAAACAGCAGTAAAAGTGGGAGCTGGCAGAGGGCCGGGGCTGGCTCGTGGCCAGCGACGCTGGCGAAGGGGGACACAGGTGCGGGGAAAAGCAGGCTTCTTCCCTGAGTACACTGAACACGATGGTTTTTTTTTTTTAAACTAGTAACATCGCCTCCCCCCTTCCTGAACTAGTAAGAAATAATATGCTAGAGTCTTACTTGTTATATAAAACAATATCTGGCTTCCAGATCTGGCCGGACGGCACCCGGATGAATTCAGCACCTCCGTAGTCCACTGGATTCCACTGGAGCTTGTAATCGTTCCAGATCTAATCGTGCCGGAGGGCAGGCCGCGTTAGGTTTGGGGAGAAACCGAAATTATGTGGACTAGGCTCAAACCAAGCGCTCTCCTGTCACCTTCAGGGTTGTTTTATTCGGGATGCTGTAAGGACTAGGCGTGTCTTTAACACACGTGTAGGTACGGAGGTTGAGCGCCCGCGGGCCTGGATGCGGCTGGGCTAGATGTGCGTGGGCGACGCTGGAGCTCGGCTCAGGGCGGCGGCGGGAGCCAGGGAAGGGG